CTTCCCAGACTGACCCACTTTTTTACATCAGCTTGTGCATCGACGGCACAGCCCATTAGTTTGGATCCCAGGCACAGTCACAGTCACTGTTTCAGCCTCATCTGTCAGAAACAGCAACATACACCAAGAGTTTTGTATTCCTGTCTCCACAGTCATCATGTGTACAAAACATCTCACAAAAAGTTCAGTGGTGAAAAGTGTTGAGTGAATATATTAACCTATGATTCAAATACATCACTTAGCTCCGAGCCTGCACGCTTACTTGTGCATGTCACAGTAAGAGTAAAACGGGAGGGAGAGCCATTATCAAGGCCCTTGTTCTGTGGAACCATTTCCCAGTGTGGGTTCAAGAGGAGGATACACTCCTTAAATTTAAAGGTGTATAACAACGTACAACGTTGCTCTTCTGATATAGGCCTAGACTGCTGGGTGAATCACTGTATGACTATTATTTATTTACCATATTTATTTGTAAAAACAAACAAAAAAAAAAAAAAACAGAGAGACTCAGAGCTGCCGATGATGATCTTCATGTGTCTTTCTTCAATTCCTGCAAGTTTATCAGCATTGTAAACTAAACAGACCCCAGTTTCACACTGAGTAATTAAATTATATAGTAAACTGAAACTAGAATATCATTATGTTTCTGTTTCATTAATCTGTTGGATGCTGTGGGATTTTTCCAATGTAAAATATATGCAGTGGCTCTTTTTTTTTTTCTTAACTGATTCTAAAGCTCACTTGGGAAAATGTGTCTGGAGGATTTGGACTTAAATATTTTTCAAAATATTTAGACCAGAAAACAAAACCACAATAAACAAAAGCAACAAGGATGAAATAAAATAGGGCTAGGGGACCAGCAGGTGTTTTTGTCTTTATTATAACAAAAAGAAAGTTTATTATTATTATTATTATTATTACATCCTTAAGTTTAAATCTGAAGCAAAACATGCAGAAGCTCAGTCATGTTAGAGAAATACAGGACCTTTGATGGCAGTTTGATTTCAGATTGATGATAACATTAGAATAGTAGACAGCTCATGCATTAAGCTCTTGCCGTATAGCAACAGCTCTGGACCTCAGCCAGACCCTAAAGAATCTCTGATCATGGAGAGAGCACAGACGGAGGAAAATGTCAGGGACATCTACATCCATGCAACACTGGAAAAAGAAAAAAAAGCCACAGTCGCAGTAACAGCATGGGGTGTGTTTTGTTTCCACCTCCTACACACTCTTGCATTAAAATATGGTTGAACAATCTCAGTCTGGAGTGACTCAAAAGAACCCCTTAGATAGTTCCCACCCTGCAGCTGAACATTTCCTGGGGAATTCCGGCCCAGGAACGTATCCCTGATGACAGAGTAACTACAACAGCTGAGAGAAAAATCACTTTCTAAACAACTGTTTGGAAGTAGATGACTTTGACTTTCTTGGACGCAGGACTGATATTGTTATTAATGACCTTGTTTCACCGGATGTGTATTTATGCCTCGATTCCAGATGGTTTGGAGACACCAAGCTACGTATCAGAGCAAGGGAAACGTGTGTCCGTTGGAAATGAGTGAGTGCTGGCAAATTAGGTGCCAGGCTCAAAGTGTGAACCAAAGTTGTTGTAGCAGAGATAACCCTAATAGCTTTCCATTAATATAAACCCACTGTGGTAATGGCCTCTTCAGTAGATGGCAATGAGTAGGTAATAGGCAGCGTTTAGAGAGAGCTAGACTTTAATTACCACTGCAATGTGAACCTGCACTATTTAATATTTCATAGATGTCGCCGAGAGGTCAAAAAAAGAAGAAGAGGAACAGGGAAAATAGGGAAAAACTTAAAAAACTTTTCTGATTTCTTTAGCCACAGAGAAGAGCAGCAATGTTGTTTTCCAGAACCCTGGGGCCCCAGGAACACAATCTTTTGTTGTGTTTGATGGAAAGGTGAACTTTCATCATTGGTTGCCATAAGGGGAGGAATGCTGCATTGGAGCTTGCGGTATTGGAAGTTTGAAATCTGAATTAATCTGTGAACTGTGGTGGAAAACTATACAAAACCCGAGGGCAAGCTGAGGGCTTATATTGTGGGAGCGCAGGTATAGTTGATAAGAGTTCAGATTCACACGGCGTCGGTATTTTTCACACAATACAATGTAGAAATAACAACGCTATCTGCACCTATTTCTGCGAACACTGTGTCCATCCGTACGCACGGAGAACAAATACAGTTAATAAGCACTCACTGTGAGCCCGTCTCTCATGACAAGACAGAATATATTTGCATCATTCCTGCAGTTGTTTATGTTTCATGAAGCCTCACCAAGTGTCTGTGAGGGATGGTTTTTCTTATTTATTTATTTTTACAGGAGGCTCATTTTGACATTTGGCTTTTCAATAAATCTCTTTTTAAACAGCAACTATTGGCGCTCCAGACTTTTCTACTTTGTCTGCATTGTAAAGATGCAGCAGGACAAAGGCTCAGGTGCTTTTCTTCAGAGCTAATGTTGTGTGGAGCCATAAAGGGCACAATAGACTCACGGTGAATGCTTTTATCTACAGGGTTTTGGTTATAAAATAATGCTATTTTTTATTTATTTATTTATTTTTGCATGATTTTAGTGACTTCCGCAAACGACATTTGGTGAATCGACAGATTACGAAAAAAAAACCCTTTTGTTTTAGTACAAGCCATACAGGATGGTCACATGATCTACTCAGATAACAGCAACAAGCTTGTACCTAAGAAAGAACTAGGATATAGTATATGATACAAGCCCGTTTAATTCAGATAAGCAAGTATCCAAAGTGTTATATTGTTACAGTATTGTATTTTTGGTATTATTTTAAACATTAGTCTCAAGTTTTTAGGTTTTATTTTAATTCGTTTTTAATCAATATTTTTACGTTATGTCTGTAATTTTTGGAATAAGTAAAAGTAATTCGTTTTTAATCAATATTTTTACGTCATGTCTGTAATTTTTGGAATAAGTAACAGAAATTGTATTTTTACTTTTAATTTTACAACGAATACCTTCTCAACACACCTATCGCATATTGTTGTAATTTTTGTGTTGTTAAACCAATATATTTCTAACAATTCTTAAGCTTTTTTCCCAGAATGCCAAACTCTCAAGCTTTAATGTAATATATAATTGTGCTACTACAATACTAGAATATTTTAGCATTATCTTGCAAAAGCACACACATTGCCAAATATGTCTGTAAAAACTGTCTGTAAATATGTCTGTAAAGCCTCACAACAGAACGTGTCAATAACCCCTTAAAGTGCATGTTATCGGTCGATTAGCACTCAGCATCTCACCTAGCTGACTGATTTCAGCAAGTGATTTCTACTTTTAACGGAGAACCTCAATCCCATTAAGCCTTGAACTCATTTTCTTCACTCAAAATAAATAATGTAGTACTAAAAAAATCTATTATTAAATTTTAAAATAGAATGTTTTTGATGCACTAAAGAAACCCATTTTCAAATGCCTTCATCTGCATGGGCTGCATGTCTCCCTGCTGCACTGACTGGTACCTTACAGTACCATCGAGGAGTACAGTTTCAGTATGTGTAGGGTACTCCCAGTTGGAATTAAGCCATTAAGTGTGTCAGTGGTGCCTAGTTGTATAAAGCTGACCAGGATCACAGCGTTCTACATAACGCTGACTGTGTCTGACCTTTGGTTACATCACTCCAGTCAAATATGTCACTCTCCCGACAGTATCCTTGATTTGACCGTCGCCATCGACGATGCCTCACACATTTAATTGTCAGCTGCTTTTGGGTCGGAGAAGGACAGTGGTGGGGGGGGGAAGGGGAAGTGTGGGGGGGGGGGTTATATTAGAGCAGCCAAAAGCTTTATTGGCTAATGAGTATGTCACAGAGAGAGTAATGAGTGGACACCCACCAAGAGCTCACACGGTTGTTCTGCAAACAAACGCGCTGCGTGTACAACCATCCACAGAAAGACTGGAAGGAAATGAGCGTGGTGGAGCAGAAGCCTGTGAAATGCATCTGCACAAGTGTAGCACAAAGGTGTGTGTATCCGTGTGTGTGTAATTGTTGTGTATGAGGTAGGCACAGCTGCCTGTAGGGCTTAAACAGACATGTCTTGTAGTGTGAACGTGCACACCAGCCTCACTGCTGGTGCTTGGAGATAATATCAGCTCTGCAGCCAGGTGAGTGTGGCCCCTGATCTCCTCCAGATAAAGCCTGCACACAGGAAGGCATCTTTCAAATGAAGGACGTCTTTCTACTAACAAGGCAAAAAAAAAAAAAAAAAAAAAAAAACTCAACTGACCATGATGAAAGTACCCCACATACACGCATATGTGGTGCACACATCCACCGTAAATCACCGGTGATGAAAGCTAACATCCCCGCTCCAACATCACTGCCTCACATCATCTGTGCCATAGGCTCCTGATGTTGAGCAGATCAAGTCAACATCCAGGTCAAGTTCAAGTTAGTGGACCGCACATTTCCTTTGCTGGGCAGCACTGATGCTCCAGCTGGGGGTAAGTCAGTAACTGCCCTCCTCTTAAAGCACTTCAACACCAACATCCGACATGCATTTTAAATAAACAGGTCAACCCGTCTCTCACATTTCCCCCCCTTCAACCTCTTATCTGTCAATGTCAAAAACAGTCACAGTCACACATTCAGGGCGAGGGAAGCGACCGTGAGTGGCTGATGATAAGCTCGGCACCAGCAGCTGCTGAGACATGATCCGGAGGAAACACAATAGGGAGATGGAAGGCTGGACAGCGACCGTAAGAAAAGGTCTATCATGTGAAATGCTTCCAGCGCTCCTTGCTCAGCCAACACCGAGCCTCTCGGTCCGCCTCCTCCTCCTCCTCGTATAGGGGAGTCGATTTAAAGGGAAGGAGGAGAGCACCTCCAGCAGCAGCAGCGGCGGCAAGAGCAGGGGGAAGCAGCGGGGATCCAGGGCGTTCGAAAGGAACGCAAATAGGTCTTAAAATGGAAAGAAAGTGGGGAAATCCTACCTGATGTGCGGCGCTCCTTAATGCATGCGGACTGACTTGGATGAAGGCTGGGCGACACACAGTAAAGCGGGTCAGCTCAGCCTGTCTGCCTCTGCCTGCCTCCTCCACGGCATCAAGCCCCTCCTCGTTTATCGTACAGTGAAGAGGGATGGGAGAGAGGAAAAAGAGGGAAGAATCCTGTCACATTTGTGAGCATAAAAAAAGCGTCAGGCTCACACTTGCAGTATGATAATTATATACACAGAATAATCCTACAACATCAGCATGATTATAATCAGCAGGAGGATGATGATGGTGGGGAGGAGGAGGAGGGGGAGGAGAAGGAGGAGGAAGGATTTAAAAAGGCTATAAACTAGACTTGTACTGCTTTAAATAAGACCTGGCGCTGTGTACACGGACACGGAGGTTGAGGCCCCGGGTTTGAGTGATTATTATTCTGACGGCTGTGCAGTAAAGTGCACCAGGCCACAGAGCAGTCATGGAGTGTTTATTTACACATCCAGAAAATCAAACATCGTATTTACCTAGTGTGCAGTGATATCAACCTGTCCTACTAAAACACCCAGCACCTGTGATTGACATTTAGTTCAATCTTTGCTATTTAAATTTACAGAACAATGAACAGTCATCATTATCTTGATTGTATGTTTTCTAAAACCTTTTACTCTGTGTTTTGAAAACATTTGGCTCTCCAGTTACTGTTACTAAATTTAAAATCCAACAGTAACGGCTGTAATTCTCACCACGATCATCTGATTATTTATCAGCCAAAACTCTACTGAAACTGATATCTTAATCGAGCAAAAGAGAACATAACTGCTGCATTAACTCACCTATTCGTGATGGCAAGATCCCCCTGCATACCAAGAGAGGGCCCAAGTACCATCAACGGTACTGGTACCACAGTTTAAGAACCACTGCATTATGTCGGAGAGAAAAAACTAAATATTTTATCAATGAAAGGTGCCTGAAAAGTACTTTATTCCCCAACAAGCTAGGGCTGCAGAGGTGACATGCTGGATATTAAAGCACTTTGCATAACCCCGCCACTAGAGGTTGCTAAATCCTACATTCTCTACTCAAAAAGGTATTCACAGGTTTATAGTTAGAGAGAAAAAGCACAAGTGATTTTTATTTAGTTTTCATTTTTCTCATTTTACTAATTTAATTTTCACTATGTAGTCCTAAGGAATGCACAGTGTAGTGGTGGTTAGTATTAATGCCTGACCGCAAACATGACATCAGTTTGCCTCCAGCCTCAGGGAGGTCTCATTTGTTTCCAATATTGGAACAGCCACAGTCTAGGAACTGAATGTAGTTGCATCCCACTCTATGCAATCAACAATTTCGACTTTCCTTTTGGTTTCCCTTTGGTTTTGGTCTCCTGTTGTAACCATTTTATCCTATCCTGGCGTGGTACAGTACAGCGCCCCTCCTTGGCAGGGGTATGAAAAACACCTTGGATATTTTAAATCCATTTTAAACCAAATGCAGACATCAACTAAAAGGTGTAAGGTATAAAGGGTGAAATGATTTTTCTCAAATTGCTTTTAGGCTCAATTTGATTTATTGATATCTCAAACGATTAAATTAAAATTATCGGGTGAAAGTAGCCTTAGGCCTTGTTCATCTAAGGTAATGTAATTAACTGTGTATATTTGACATTGTAAATCTGGGATTCGGCAGTGAATGGTTGACCTAACATGTCTGACGTCATTGAGATCCTGTTTTCCATGTTAAGTTTTATTTGGCAGTAAAGTAATAGAACCAAATCACGAAGGTAAAACACAAACATTTCATTCCAATTAGGAGAAAATAGTTAAATCACAGCACCCTTTTAGTTAAGCGTCAGTTCTTGGTTTCTAAATGTACACTGCCATCTACCGGCAAATATATGCATCTACAGTCGCCAGACCACTACACACTATAGATTTGTGCAATTCATAGCATAACAAATGCAAAGAATACTAAACGTTGTCCGGACTGACACCAGTAAAAAGGGGAAGGTACTCACGAGACCATTATTATTCTCAATTTTTCGTTCATAATTATATTGTTGAGTTACTCTGAGAAAATCACAAACATGCAGCTGGTGCAAAGATCTGGAGACTCCATGTCATATAATAGTTTTGCTAGAGGATGTGGTAGTCGTCCAAAACAAACAAACAAACAAAAAAATAACTAACAAAGACAAAAAAGGTGAAAGAATGGTACACATTTTATGAACTATCGACCTAGCTTTTCTCCGTTTTCTTTGAAAGTGCATTCAATACATTGGCTTTCCAAATAAACGTAAGGAAAACATATATGAAACCTGAACATCTTGGAAAACATTTCCAAGAAACAGCTCATTTGGCCCCATTCCCAGGATAATGTGACGTTGGTGTGTTCTCTAGTTGTCGGAAAAACACTAACCGAGTGGCTCCACTTGATCTTTGTCCCGTGGACGTTTATTTGTTACCATAGTGTATAGAAGCATCATTGACTACGACGATCAGTTTAGCTGCTTTGTCAGAGAATGTAAGGTAATATATACATTATAATTAATAAATAATAATGTTTTTAAAATAATATATATATATATTATTTTAAAAACTATTCCAAGAGCTAACACAAGAGGGTAGCATAGCAACGTTAAAATATTTAATAATGGTGGGATATTTTATGCTGAGGTTTTTGTTACTACAACTTACAGTAGCTTTTTATTAAGCTATTTTGTTGAGCTTACATAAATAATATCCTGTTTTGTTTTTTTCAGTATTGTAACACTCTTCCAGTTTTAAGTGTGTTACAAAATGATTCCAAAGTATTGAAATAGATTGTTAATTACCATTGCATATCATGAAAAATGCACACATTGCAAGGTTATTTAGACCCTAAAATTCGAATTCAAGTTTTCGTCTGTTCTTTTGAGGGAGCTGTACCTAAAATTAACCTTGTGTTATCACCTGCTGGTTCCTTTTTTAAAAAAAGTTTCATAAGAACGTTCTTATCATCTGGTTTGCCACCACAGAACAAGGTCACCCTTAAATGAATGGAAAAACAAACATGTGAAATGAGAGCTTGGCACCTGTTTGAAATCAATTCTTCAGCGTTTAAGGAGTGAACCCATCTTACTCAGTCCTCTCTGTCCACTGGCTGCAGGGCCACCAAGCTCTGTTGTGGTTGGGATATTTCTATGGGAACCAGTGACCGAGGGAAGAGGGAAGGAGGATCCTGTCTAAGCAGCACAGGGGGCGTGTTAGCTTCACTGCTCTCCTGCTCAATTTAAACCACCTGCGTCTATCAAAAATCCACAGATGTGCCACACTTGACATGAGAGAACCTCCATCTGCTGTCAGGAGAGCCTCAGTGATTTTTCCACAACACCCTGGAGCTATCAGCCCGTCCTGTTTGGGATAATTCTGTGATTTATTCCCTTCTTCTGAAGAGGTAAGAAGAAAAAAAAACACCAAACTTTTCAAACTTTTAACTATTTAAATCCAAAACAGTTCAGTATTTAAATTGCATGTTTTTATTTCATTTTGCAGTGTTTTCTAATTTCCCATGTGGGTGGTGGAGAAGATCCGTTTGTCAGTGGAGAGATCTAACCTGCCCATTCTACCAGCAGAACTTAGCTTAAATATTAGTGACATCATGTTTGGTGAGAAGCCCAAAAGGATTTTTCTCTGTCCAAACGTCATCACCCCTGACAACATCCCAGAGTTTTGCATCCCACCAACCATCCCATCACTACAGGAGATGAAGAATCTGGAGCACAGGCGAGCCATTTGTGCCCCCCGGGTCTCTCAATCTGAGAGGACGAGCCCTGAGACTGAGGTGACGCCTCAGGAGCAACGAAACCCACACATCATCCAGGTGGAGAGTGTGGATGAAAGCCCATATGATGGCTGCAGTGATGAGGAGACCACCAACGCAGACCCTCAGAGCCAGGCTGCACTGTCTCTTCCACACCTGGCTAAAGCCCAGACTTGTTACGGTTTTTGCACTTTACTGGAGAGCCCCCACACCAGGAGAAAAGAGTCTCTCTTCCATGCCGACCCTGGCTCCTCACCCCTGCTGCTGCCCAAAAGTCGGTCCAGCGTGTTCTCCAAGGTCTCTCCCTCCACCTCACCTTCCTCCTCTCCTTCTTCCCTCGGCCTTAACACCATCACCTCCAGACTTTCCCCAAGAAGTTACACCATGAGCTGGCAGACAGCTCTGGACAGTGACACGACGTCTTCGACTGAATCTTCTCCCTTCAGCTCCCCTCTGCTGACACGATGCCCCGGCAAGTCTTCCCTCTTTAAAGCACTGAGTCATGAACTGCTGTTGTCCAGGAACTTAAGGAAAGCAATGGTGTCTCGGAATAATTCTTTATCAACAGATGAGGGCAGCTCCACGGACAACAGTCCAAATGTGATGAGAAGGGTATCAGAGGGGGTTATTGAAGGCCTGCCCAGCACCTACACCCTGGCACCACCCACCATCTTCCCAATGGACTTGACTTTGCACAGGGAGCAAAAAGTAGGGAAGGAGAAGAAGGTGCCCATAGGGAAAGACGGACCCCTGAGACTGTCGGCAGAGTACTGTGCAGATAACCAGAGACTCCGTGTCCGGCTCATCAGCACCGAGGGCCTCTATCCTCTCTCTGTAGATCCTAAGATTATTAACTGCAGCGTCAGTCTTTGTCTGCTTCCCGGAAAAGTCCAGAAGCAGCGGAGCACGGTAATCAGAAAGAGCCGTAATCCGATCTTCAACGAGGATTTCTTCTTCGATGGAGTCTCAGAGGATAAGCTGGGCCAGCAGTCCCTTCGACTTAAAGTGGTGAACAAAATGTCCACCCTGAAAAGAGACTATCTTCTCGGTGATTGTGATTTGCCTCTGTCTAGTATCGTCCAAATTTGAACCAAAGTACTTCCTTGGCTTTTTATTTATGATTTCAAATATTTATTTTCCTTTTGGACTGCATTGAGTTTTATAATCCTTAAATTATGTAAAACATCCATGTTGTTTGTCTTTTATATGTTTCAAGAGATGCAAAACTTCAAAATGATGGTAAGGGGGGGTGAGTAGCAATATACAGCACTATATGAAGATTGTACATTTTTACACATCAAATGTTCTAAGGCAGGTGACTTGAGTACTTTAAAGCCTCTTTCTATATGTATTAAATAAAAGCATCTTCATTATTTAAGTGACTAACACTTGCCCTCAAGTTTTAAAAAAATTGTTGTATAAAAATCAGTAGTTTTGTCCTTCATTCCATTATCAAAAAAAAAGAAAAGATTATTATTATATCATATTGCAGTAGTGAGGATTTGTAGACAGTAAAGTATGTGTATCAACTGGTGAGACAACGTGTTTTTCTAAAGCAGTATTATAGATGACACATTTCCAAACTTCTTTCAAACATGTTAATAAATTAAATTAAAGATTTTTAAAAATAAGACTTTGTGCAAAGTTTGAACCTAAAACATTATTTGTTTTGTTTTTTTAAAAAGAGAAAAAACTGCACATGCAATATACATACATGTTTGCACAAGTGAGCATGGCGGCAGCTCTAAATGTAGACTCCAGGCAAGTGTATCCTGCTGCTAGCTGCCATAAAGCTCAGCCTTAAAAGCACTGGCTGCCACTACGGCTCTTAGTTAAAGATTAATAGGTTCCTCAGGGCTCAGAAAAGCTCTGAGAGGGGACAACCACTGGTTGTACAGCAGTGACAAACAAAACAACATGCAGTGAAATGACGAGATGGGAAGTGCTCATGAATACTGTATAAATAGACCGTGTGGCACCGCTGCATGCAGGGATTGTCTTTCAGAGGCTGCGATGACGACGGCTTTATGATGCAAATATTTTTACAAGATTTTACAGTTTGCATTGTGCCGCTGGAAGCAGACTTCACACACATTTAGCCTCATGATCCAGTTTGTGCTAAACAGACAGCATTGCCACAAAGACCCCAAAACACGTCTCAATTGTTCGGATGTAAATAAGGATGTTGTGCTACAGTGATACGGCACAAAGAGATACTACAAGTCTGAAAGGGAATCCTATACTGTACAAATCCCAGTCTTACACAACCTATATTTGATTACAATACATCTCCCTATAGAGGGTGTGTTTCCAGATCCTGTATAGAGCGTTTATTTTGAAGTGTTGACTCAGCTGTGAAATATCCCATAATAAATAGGAACTACACTGAGTCACCTCACAGGATTACTTGGACAGATCTTCTTTATACTAAAAAAAGAGCTGCTTTCACTGCTTTCCGTATACAGTATGTACATATACAGTATATAAAACACACACTGGAGCTAAAGCAGCCTCTACACATCTGGGTATTATTCATTTTCCTTTCAAATGATACCGAGTAAATACGTTAGAGAAAATAATACAATTGTTGTAAAAGTAAATAGAAATAGAATTCAGATCTAATGTTAACTGATTAGCTACATTTTCCTGTTCAATGCAATGGAACATCAGTAAGGATTAGAAGTGTAGTTTAAAAACCTGGGAGGGTGTTTGTACTCTGTTTCAACCACTAATGTCTTCTAGTGATTCCATAATCTGTAGGAAACATCAGTCTCTCCTGGAGATGGACACCATGAATATAAATGCCTGACAGAGGAAGTGCACTGGCTCCATCTCAAGTATCTGAAAACAGTTGCCTGGTTACTCTCATTAAGCAGGATGGCTTTGTCAAGAAAAGCAGTGAGCCGATATTGACAACAGCCACATTTAGACGTACAGTAATTGGGAAAACTGAATGTAGTATTTTTTGTTGTCATTATTCGTCATTTCTCAAAACAGTGATAAGATAATTTGCTTTGACCTCATAGATGAAAACGTCGTATCCTCCTCTGCCACGTTTCTGGTCTCACAGGCTGTAAAAGGTTGGCGTCAAACCCACTCCCTTATCACACTTTTTGTTTTACCAGGCTCTCATTCTGTGGCCACCACCAACACATAACACCCTAAACATGTCACTGTAAACCATTGTATTAAAGTGTTTATCCTTGCTCCGCCCTGCTGTGTTCACAGGGTGAAATTTGTTTTGGATTCAGAATTACAAAAGACAGAAGTGCCCCGGTTTAATCTCATACTGTTTCTCCACCCAGTCGTGTAGAAAAGGCCGTTGGTCTGCCACCAGCCGGGCCACGACCCAACTGAGCTGGACAACCATGATATTAAACTGAAGGACAGTGTCTTTGTTCTTCAGTCTGTTAACTTCAATACCAAAACATAATCTCAATTTTAATTTCAACTGCAAATTAGACTCTGGGTCAAACTGAATTTTAGAAAATAACCTTTTATGAATTTAGATGGACTTATTCTGTTTTATTATTATCTGCTTGGACTTTTTTGCATGTTGCAATTTATTTTGTAAATACTAGTGTACTAGCATTTCCAGTGTATCTGATCTTCTAAATGTTTTGATTAGTTTTGACCAAATCCTTATTATGTTCTTTGTTTGTTTGTTTGTTTTGGTAACACATTTATGCTGCTGCTTTATCAAGTGAGTTTCCCCTCACAGTGTTGATCAAATAAATTTATTCCCTCTTCTTTTATTGTCAAAATACTGACAAAAACATCAGTTTTCAGGAGACAACTCAATTACTGGATAAATAAACACCAAGTAAAATTGGGATGTGAGTAATTTGCATATTTTTTTAAAAAAAGTCTACACAGCTTTTGACAGAAAAAAGAAATTTAGTTCCCATGTTTGAGATGGTAGTTTTTAAAACTGATACCATATCAATTTTTCACACACTTCTCCGTGGCCTTCAATAATGATGTTTCTACCCTAAACATAAAGATATTCGGTATCATTAAGTATCATAACTGGGCATAAAGGAATAATCTTACCACAAAGACAGGAAGACGGTATGTACAGGTGTTGTTATTAGCACACATTGGGGAAAAATGTCTCTGTTATAATGAAGCACTTAGCTTAGCTGAGTTAGCTGTGTTTAAAATACATTCTGTCACAACTGTAAAATGGACTGCAAGGGACTGTAGACTAATTAATATTGTAATACTGAAGACAAAAGTTTCACACTGTCGACAAGCTTCAATCAAGACACACAGCAAAAACTACGGTCAACCAACTCTGAGGCTAAAGTTTCTACATTTACATATTTTTCTTTTCTTATTTTTTAGTATAAAGACGTGTATCATTTCACATACAGTAGCCAATTTAAAACCTTTGTTTTAAATTTTCATTGATTGACAACCCTAATTGTTTCCCTGCGTTTTCAGTTAAAATAAGTATATTTATATACTGGCCATTAATATAAAAAATAAACATTTTATCTGCACCTGATGTTTTGTACGCAGGTACAATATTATTCGGTCCTGTGACTAATAGCAGTGAAGATGTTGTGAATGAATGTTCTTTTTAGCGCCATGACATGACACTGGTAAAAGCCGCTCATGGCAGCCCTGCGTGCTCTTCTTTGTACCAGATAAGTGGAAGTAATGAGCTGGCCCTGAAATAAAATCACCTGCGTCATGAGTGTGTGTGAGGACACACACCCGTTGCGTACAAATGCCAAATGAAACCAGATCTGACTGAAACAGACACACAAACTAAACAGAACCACACGGGGTGGGTGGATGGATGTCTGGTGATGCTCCAAACTCACTGCATTTAAATGGATGGGACAAATAAGTGTTGTCAAATAAAAAAAAAACAACAAAAAAAAAACAACAAAACAAAACAAAAAGGTTGTGCCACTTGTATGCACTCAGCAACTGATCTATCAAGTTCTATGGCACTTTTATTTATATGGTCTGGTAACATCCCGTTTATTTTTGGCACAAAGTCAACTTCATGTGACCTCCGTCCAACACAACGTTATCAGTTTCAGTCATCCCCGGTTTACAGGAAAGGTGAGGAGCAGATACTGCTGCATCTGCACGTAGCACACTAATCGCTCAGAATGTGCACCTGCTCTGTTACACCACCTCCTCAATCAACTGCAGCTCCGTATGGAGCAGAGTCCAAGCGTGACCTGTTTGGTACATAACAACCAAACGTTGTGTAGGATGGACTTCCTCACATCCAACGAGACTTACAGGGATTGAGCAGCGTGAACTCCTTCACCTCAGCTCTGTTTGTGAGGAGCCAAGACTCCATATTTAGCCTAGTGGTCAGAGTGGTCACCTTGGGAGAAACGTGAATGTTTGGCCACTGGGAACCCAGACGGTGTGTCTGTTAAGTGGCTGTGGACTAATAATAGCTCATCACCAGGAACACACCAGAGGTGCATATTCATTTGCCACTCACTCCGTGATGTGCGATATAATCAGGAGCAGGGAGATGCTGTTTGCCTGGTTAATTGCATCAGAGCAATCAGAAGAGAGCTAAACGTGATCTAAAGAAGCATTAAAAGATACACAGATGGTTTGGTTTTTAGGATGGACACATGACACACAAATCTTTTTTCTTGGTTCAACAGTGGCAGGACATGCCCGTATATTTGAGGAACTATCTACAGATTGTACATAATTATACTTTTTTATAGGAAAACTGCCATCACAGGACACTCAATCCACCTGTTCAACGCAACAAATATTCTGGAAATGGAAAGATGACCAACTCCTCCTGTCCGCCTGTATCTGTGTTTTTTTTTTTCTCTTCCAGTAGCACCTTCCATTCCCATGGCAACGAGGCCCAGCTCCAGGGGAACCATGGAGATCCTGCCTTTCATGTGTGAGATGCTTTTATTTCGACACATAAGTTGATAGGCCGTCCCTGTCTGTTTGATTCAGACACTTCTGAGCTTCAGTCTTGCTCCCACTTACATCCGAGGGGCCAGCACCGTTTCTGTGTTTCTGAAAAAGTGGGAGGCGACGTATGGGTTTTGTCAGAAAGACAGCTGGTTTTGATTCATACGTGAAGATTCAAGGGTAGAAATATAATTTTTTTTTTTTTTTTTACAAATCTCACTCCTTATAAATAGCATACCAAATCATTATTTAGGTTAAAATGATTCATTACACTGAACTTTTGATTGACAAAGTGAGGTCTAAAAAAAAAAATCTTTGACTTTTCCATTCACACTTGTTCTTGATATTTTAATAAAAAAAAAAAAGTTAACTTTTAAAGTTTTCATGTAACACCTAATAAAGCTACAGTCATTACCCTGCACTGTATGTGTTGTCTGTCCTGTCCATGTAGAGTCTGGTGCCTGACTGGGGTCCCAAAGAGGGAGAGACTGTGAGACACATCTAGGCCTGTCTGTGTCTGTTGTACTGTCCCACTTACTTCACTGTATCATCCAAACCACACAGGAGCTTGACATCGGAAAAATAATGATACTGTGTTTTAAGTATATTAATAAAAATGAGGATGAGGAGCAAAGACATGTCAGAAAAAGGAAAATTACGAAGCAAAGACATAAAAAAGAGCAAAAAATGTTTGCCCACAATCAACTCATACTGTAGGGATGCAAATACTGACAAGTGCAGCCACATTAGCTAAAACATTAGCCAAGAAGAGAGCTTCAACGTTACCTGAAAAAGGTTAGCATAGACTTTTCTGAAAGAGGATGTGGCTTCGTGTTAGCCCAGTCCAGTTAGCCAAGGTGAATGTTTGCAAAACATAATTATCGGAATACACTTTTGTTAACCTCCTGAATGTTGTTACAAACACCTTTCACAACTGCAGAAAGACTCAGCTCACGACAAGTCATTTCCTTACGATGCTATATGATCTGATCGATGAGAACCATTGCACATGCTACAGTACTGTAAATATAATAATGTATCATTGTCTAAAGATAACAAATGGTTCTCAACCCATCACATTACCTAAAAGTAAACACTGAAGCTAGGTGATGGCTCTCTGTTTGCTAAATTTGTTTGCTTGGCAACCAGTTGACACAAAGTGGGGGCGGGGGGGAGGATTCTTTATTAGCCCAGAGGGTTTACTAAAGGTTCACTGTGAAACATTGTGAAACATTCACACTGCAAACTACACTTTGTTTAACATAATAGAGGGGAATATCAGCGGCAGGTGCATTAAAAACCATGCATTAATACTTTGCTGCTTTAAATAACTATAAGTACTTTAATAAAAGTGCACATAATGGAACACCTTGCAAAAATAAAAGTACATACGTACCTGCAGCTATACTGTCATAATTTAAGATTAGTAAATAACCCAGACATGTTATTGTAGTTGAAAAACGTCAGCAATACAGATTCAATGAAACATATTTCTGACAAATATATTCAATTAACAATGCAAGGTGTTGTTTCATTTTTCACCAAAAAAGTATGTTCTAATTTGTAAGGTATCAAGCAGATAATGTTAAACAATTTAAGGTCCATCCACCAAAATGTTGTTTTAAAAACAAAAACAAACAACTAATACTATTGGTAACATTGACAGCATGAGGTGATCCTGAACGCACCAGCGAATTCCAGTCAATTATCTAAAAAGGTGCAAACGCAGGTGGCGAGGCAGCAGTTAATCACGAGTTGCGCATTTTAAGTGTGCGAGAAATCCTTAAGTAAAAACGCGACAAAGTGATTATGATGGAAGTACGAAGTTACGAGCACGACTGCAGGAGTCTTGTGAGTAAAAATTTTTAACAGGTTATAATGTTAGTTTTCATACTCAAACTTCCTGACCGCACTGAGCTCACTGACAGTGTTGTCAAACAATTGTTCTGCACTGTCAATTCCATTTGTGTTTACAAATAAATATTAAATTCGGAACGTTCTATGTTGACCAAGCGCCATTGTGTCAATTAAAATAAAAAATATTTTTTTAATAAATCAAACATTTCTATGACAGTGTCTACTGCGTATCAACCGTTTTTCTTCAGATTTTAAGATATGTGGGGTTTTTTTTACTACAAATATCACATGAGCGCTTTTATGACCCAAAGCATGTGCTTTAACGTAGACACTAACGATTTAAACAGGACAATAATAGCCTTTAGCCTTTTTGTAAATATTTTCATGATTTCTGTTACAACTAGTGCTTTTGTTCGTTGCATTTTAGCTGTTACTCACTGAATCTCTTGTAGAAACTGCATTGTCTTGTGAGTTTACTTCATTTCGTTGTGTGTACTCTCCATGGTCAGTTCTTGTCTTAAAGTTTACTTCCTGTGTTGTGTTCACGATGAGGCCTGCTGTGCCCCAATAAATACCACCTTTGTGTAATTCATGCCAGCTGTGTCCAATTAGTGTGGACTGAGTAAATGAGTGCATACATATTGTACTTTATTATGAAGTAGAAGTTTCTCAGTGTTATTCATTCTATATTTCATGCATTTTCAGTAATTTTTTTTTTTTGTCTTCTCCGCCTCTCTGTCTTTAAAATTGTTTTCATGTTCCTCAGACTGTCACATGTGGTCACTTAAGTACTTGGCTAAGTGGCAGTTACATCATTGATGTAATGTGTTTTTGACCACCTTGTTATTGCTAACTGCCCATGTGTCCTCTGAAGCCTGTCACTGTTGCTGTTGTGTGTTATTTTACCTCAGTTCTTTATCTGTTGTGGCCTTTAATGACGCATCATTTGTGAAGCTTTTAAGCTGTGGTAAATCAGTAATGTGACTGAATGGCAGCCTCACAGTTGTTTCTGTGGTCGTGCCTGTCTTTTGTTTTTACTGCCTTATCAACACATTTTATGACCTATTGCTTTTAATTTGGCATAAAGGCTTGTGCTTATTTGAGTGATAATTCTTGTTTATTATGGTTATGAGTGGACTTCTTTGTCTTGGCTTGTACTGTAAGAGTAATAGACTGTTGTAGAATTTAAACTATAACAGATGGTGGTGATTGCAATACCAAATATTTAAATACTGACATTTTGCTGTTTAATGATCGTGTTACTTAAATTTAAAGAGGTAGACATAATACTTACTGACACCTATCTGAGTCTGGAATATTTGTTATTGTATAATCTAAATGGAAAATGGGTAAAAAAAGAAAAGAAAAGATCCCTAAGAAAAGCTGATAAAAATTTTAATTTTTACATTCTGTATTGTTGCTCTGCTTTTGAACTTTAATTTCTTAAAAAAAAACAATAATTATACCAGAGTAATACATTTAGTGACAGAAACAGGCCAAACTTAATCATAACTAAAGTTAACATTTTTTTTTGCCTTAATTAGACAAGACTTTTGTTTAGTCAACACTTTTGTTTTATCCAAAAGATTTTTTTTTTGCTTCTGCAGCATTTTCCTCAATGAGCTGACATTAAAGTACAACACGTGTTTAATGCTACTGTTTTTGAGACTTTTTTTTTATTTAATCCAATCTCAATTTCTCTTTCTGCCTGTGATGGAAACCACCATTTAATTGGTTGATATGATTCAATCAGCCTCACGCCTCATGTCCTGTGATTCAAACTGAAGGTGAGTCATTCATATATGACATTTCTAAAGACAGTGCAACACATGTTTTACACCATGTGATGTGTCATGTGTTAGCCCACATGTCAGTACTGCGGTACACATCCAGGCCATGTGATTGATTATCTGTGTGTTGTCTGGGACTTAGGTTGGAATGAAGAGGTTTGGGTTACATGAATGGACAGCTTGATGTAGTAGGAGCAAAAAATAATGATAATTGTGTAAAATTACATTTAATGGGCATTGTTTGATGGTGATATAATTATGGTGAAATACCATTGTATGGTTACAAGGAAGCTGCTATGGTTACAGGCCAACAAGTTAAGTAGACATGACTGGTCTTAAAGAGAAAAGGGATTTAAAGCATGTAGTGTCCATCTGCAGTGATGTAGCGCCCCCTACACTGCCACTGTGATGATGATGATAAAACATAAATAAACTCTGTAGGTGAAAGTATACGTATGAACTTTAACTGTTTTATAATTAAAGAGAAAAAAAGGTGATGCCAGCTGAGACCAGTGGTTCTCAAATGGGTGTACACCATATACCGTCATTATTCATAAACAGTTCAAGGGAGACCACTACAAATAAAGCCCACCATCTTACACAAGAATTGGAAGAAAATAAATATTGTGAGAGATGGATCTTTAAAACATTTTCTGTTGTGTAACATTTAGATTAGATAACGTTTGACCCACATGTAACTTGCCATTTGTTTTGTTTTATAAGTTGACATTGTTAACAGTGTGTTTGTTTTCATGAACTAAATAAACATGAATAAAGTTTAACAGTGGGGCAGTCAAACCACACTTTTTCAGTGTATTGCACTGTGATTAAGTGTTGTCCTTAATTCAGGGACATGTGAACAGTATGATATGAATGAATGTTTGGTCGTTCTTGTATGTGATTGGTCCGGGGTCTTACACACCCCCACAGCCCTCTCCCTTATCGTCTTTGGCCCTCAGACACCTTGTCACACTTTCCATGTCCTGTTTGTGTGAAAGTAAAACCATAGCCTCTGGCACTGTGGCCTTTTTTATTTCTTTAAAACGGAAATGATCTGCGTCTTTAGCCCATTAGTTTAGACCTGCATCCACATCACTGCACTTCCTTTAGGTCAAACGTGACGTATTTGGCTCAGAATAGCAAAACTCATAAATTTAGCACGGAATGTTCTGGTACTTACAAGTAAGAACTTGGCAGCATTGTATGATGTGTAGGTACTGATGAGTGACCACATGTTACTCCGACTGTTACTGCTGCCTGCAAAAAAAAAATAATTTAATTTAAAGAAATTAAGGAATTATTTTCATAAATATTATATAGTACTACAAATGCTACAGACTAAGAAAAGTGTCTAGGTTTTAATTAATCTTACAATAATGTCAAAAATATTGTCAAAACGCACATCACATTTTTTTTAAATTTGAATTGTCCTTTTGCACTGCACAGCATTTTAATTGTGTGCTGCCCTCTGCTGGTGATATCGCATTCACACCCTACTGGTGTTAATTGAAAAACAGTGCAGAATTGCATGTTGAATATATGACTGAAATAATCAGACTTTTTTGTATAAGAAGCAAGATATAACCTTGTTTAAAAAGCTTTTAATTGTAGCAGTGATACATTTTTGCAAAAATCGATTTTAAAGTCATTTGACCCTTATCAAACAAAATGCAAATTACACCAACCTTATATCTGAGGGGCATCTAACATTAAAAAGAAAAATTAATCAGACCTCTTTTAATAAATTATAACATCATAGAATGTTTTGACTTACCCTTGTATGTATATATGAGAGCCACACAAAAAAAAAGTTTAGAAAGCATCTTTTAGTCACCCGCTCTTTGAGTTCCTTTTTCTCATCTATTTATTTACAATTACCAAGAGAAAAACTGTACCCACTGGACACAGGAAAACTGACCAATCAGTCAGTTTTTTTATTGGGGCAGTACACGATGAAGGAAAAGCAGAAAAGAAAAAAAAAAAGATGTCTGTTGATTTTTGCTGTGCACCTTTAATATCTCTTTATTTTGCCCCGCAGCCTTTATTTACAAGTGTTTTTCTCAACAGCATGAAATATGTTCTCAACAAATAGACACTTGTTTACAACCAATCACCGGGACTGGGCTCATGAATGTTAGGATACACAGAGTGAGACCCTTTTGCTCACCATGCTATTTTTAGCAAGGCACCAATGCCTCCTGGCAAAAATCACATGAATATGGATAGTGTGCTCGGCTGTACAGAGTGGTTTGCAGCATGAGAGCAATGATTCAGAGAGACAGCCCGCATGTACCCAGTGTGTGTTCACAATACCAGTTCAGAGCAGGAGTAATATTGCATTACTACACAACAAGAGTGGCAATCAGAGGAAATATTATGGTGGGAAAAATGCTGTTGTTATTCTTACCTCACCGTCGCCCTTTAATGATTCAAATTCTGTCAAATAAAAAAACCCAAATCAAAATAAATACTTCCTTAGCAGTAAATACTACCATAGACAGTCATGATTGCAGCTCACTATAATCCCTTGTCCTTTTTCTATAGCACACATCTCTCCTAAGAATAGCGCCACATAGATTCATGACGCTGAATGGACTCCAACAACAAAAGCTAATTTACTTTACATATAATTAGCATTTTAAAATCATACCACTCCTCACAAATGCATTTCTGGTGTTCCTCTCGTGTCCTGCCCATTACGTTGATACCAGCAGGTCTATCATTCACGCTTTGTTTCGACTCTGCTCCGCACCGGTCCTAAATGTATCTGGTTTACTTTCCACCACTCTGGTGCCAACTAGCATGGTCTACCTTCCTGTCCTTGACCTCAGCGTACTTTGCAAGTCAATATTATTCAAAGGCTGTCCATGGTTATGCCTTTAAATAGGCCAATTTAGGCTTAGAGAACATGCATCTTAGAAGACAGGTTTATTTTGGTGTAACTCAATTTTTCTCAGCTCTCCTTGGCCGTCGGGAAATATCCTTGAGAAAGAGGCCACAGGCAACTGTACTTTCTAAACCATCTAAATCTGGTAGAGCTCAACGTGCTGGAGGTCCTGCAGGTTTGGTGGTGTCCAGCAGGGAGTGCCCTGACTCTGTTCATCTGTGTTGCATCTCCATTAGATTACTTGAAACTTGTAAGGGTCACTGCCTTTCACAAACAGGTGGGACGCTGAGTGAATTAAAAGCATGCAAATTACATTAACATTTTGTCAAGAAATCTACTGAAGAAACATTTGAGGTCAAAGGTCAAATGTATGGGCAATACACGTTTAGACATCTGTGTATACCAGTGCAATTGGTGTGCCTTAATTTAATGCTGTCTTATAACTACAGCATGAAAGACACACAAAGAAAGAAACTTTTCTTCCATTGCCGTGAGAAAAAAATGTGTAGTTTTGAGACCGTCCACAGAGAAACAGTGAAACAGTTTTCACTTACATAAGAAAACGCTTTATCATTATTTTCCTATGAGTGTTATATACTGTATGTTAAAATACCCCCAGGTCCTCCTGACACAGGCTGATTTTTTTCCCCCTGTATTTTAATTAAGCTTCATCTCAATACTGAGTGCAGAAACTGCTCAGTCAATTAAATGGGCTGTTTATGGACCATGGGACCATGCAGCTTGGTTGACTTCCATAGTGACTCCTTGGTAATAATGAATAAAATACGGAATGTGATTTTATGATAATTTATTAAATAGGTGGAGTTACTGATAGTCACAAACATCAGAAGATGTTATTAAAACAGATGTACTCCACTAATATATATATATGTATCTATCTATGTATATATGTACATATGTATACGTGTGTATATATGTATACAGTATATGTGGATATATATATATATTCTTCACAACACTTGGTCTCCTCTTGTCTCCTGTCCCCTCCTCTCTCCTATCTTCACTTTACTCCTTGTCT